ATAGTCGCGAAACTGTCGCGTTGAAACTTTCATTCGCGTTCTGCGTATGATCATCAAGGCATCGTTCAAGTAAATCATCTTTGGACAAATCTTCATAAATTGGTGAAAGATGCTGTTTCATTTCTTTACCAAGTAATGGAGCTAAATCTACGTCTAGAATATCTTGACCACTGGCACTTTCATTATGACTTGTACTGGCGTCAATTTTTTCACCTGCTTTATCGGTAAACTGATTGCCCTCATAACGTCTTTTTAGTGTTATTTTGTGCAATATTACTTCGCTTACCTTTTAGATTATTCGGCATTTTTAACTTCCCGTAGGGTAAGTTATAGTAATCGCAAAAAAATCGAAAATGAAAATTTTTATATATCTTTACGTTTCAGAGGTTTCTGAACATTTTGGCATACCTTAGAAAAAATGGATGTATGTGTGTGTGTGTATGTATGTGTGTGTATGTATGTGCGGATACAAATTTTCGTCGACGATTTCGGGAACACGGATCAACCGATTTGAATAATTCAAAAAACATTCGATTCGTACTGATAAGGAGACGTGCTGATTAGTTTTTGGCGAAGTTAGGTCTAGCCGTTCCGAAGATACGGGGCAAAAAGTGCCGAAAACGGTAAGTCAGTTTTTAAGAGAACGGAGCGTCCGATTTGAATAATTCAAAAATCATTTTACTTGTATTGGCAAGATGAAGAGTTGATAAAATTTTCATGAAGGCAGGTCTAGCGGTTTCGGAGATCTAATGAAAAAAGTAAAAAAAAATGCCATTCGGCGGTTAAAAATGATGATTAGACATATGCACATCAAATTATCAGATATTGTATAGAAATTTTAACAATAAGTATAATTTTTTTTTACATTTCTATGGGTTCCGTACCAATGTTTATGCGTTAGACGGCGGCGCGGCACTTGCGCTGTGACAATTCGTCTCTATGCAGTTCAAGCACTACGATTGCTTTGAAAAAAAGTTCAGAATTTCCAAATATGTCAAAATGAAGAAAACATTTTTCTTTTCAAAAAAATAGTTTCTTTTCAAAAAAAAATTTTTTTCTTTCAAAAAAAAATTTTTTTTTTCAAATAAAAATTTTTTTTTCAAAAAAAAGTATTTTTTTGTCATATTCCTAGTTTCTCAATAATTATTTCGAAGTAATTTCTTTTCAAAAATGTTAATCGTTTTTAAAAAAATAATAATTTTTGGTACGGGAAGTTCCAGCAATTTGCCTTAAGGCACGATGCCCTAATTGCCTTAAGACAGAATTCCACTTACAGCTAGTTACGTATTGAAATGGACTGAACACTACGAATTTTCCAGCTAAACTAACTATATTTCTCGACTAACCTTTGTTCGTATACCAATATTACACATGTACTAAGGTACATGAAGTCTTCCGGTTGTAGGTCAAAAGAAGTATTTCTAGTTATTATAATGAAAGAGACCTTTTTCACTCGAAATTTAACAATACGCGTGATCGCTTGACAATGCGCACTCCGGCCCGCTCCGTTATGTTAGCTATAACTTTGTTAATATAAGAGATTTTTTTTGCCGACTCGTTAATATACGCTCAACATACTATACTTGCAGATTATCGAAAAAAAAAATTTCAATTTTTTGAAAATGTTATATGGACTTTTCTCCCCTTAAGACCGCCTAATTCATATATACAATCTGTAATACCTCTTTCAATCGCTGTAACATTATGTTCACTTAATAAAACATTTATCTATGGATATGTAAAACGATCTGTATTTGATGGGCACTATCATTACACCTGAATATAAAAATATTCTCTTACAAAAGGAGTAAGTTTTTTTTACTAAACTACCTGTCGCATCAAAATACAGTACTCTATCTGCATTATTTTGCAAATACCCTTTTAATACATCACATGCTTCATGACTTACTGCTACCGGAATCTTTAAAAAAAGACCACATAAAATTTGCTTTTTCGGTGGTATTGTCAATTTCCTTAACATCCTAAGGATCCATATTGTCGTCGGGATGGAAGTCATTTTTCTTTAGTTTATACTTTGCCTGACGCATGCAAACTTGTGAAGGTAGATTGTTTACTTTACCGAAATTTTCATATGATTCAGGAAATTTTGTTCTCATATCTTTGAACTGCTCGAGACGATATGCTGCTGGTTTTTGATGTTTAAGTTTTTTTTTAAATTATCTCTATCATTTTCTCTTAGTTGCCTACACCTAAGAATTGGATAAGTTTCTGTACCAAGATTAAGTATACCTTCAGGTATGATTAAAATTTCTTTAATCATTTTTTGATGAGGATCAAATTTAATGTGAGCATTAAATATCATGCAATTTCCAACATCCTTTTCCTCCTTTTGATTTCTATTCTTGGGACAATAAGCTTTAATATGAGCACTTTTTTATTTACACGTGCATAGTGAAAGTTCAAATCGCAAGGATATATTGCAGCTTTCTTAAAACACTCTAAAAATGCTTCTTTATAATATTTTTTTTATTTGTACCATTTGCAATATGGAATAAATTCTCAAATTGAAGATCTGAAGAAAATAGCTTAATTTCTTTAGGGATTTTGTCTGTAACACTCATTGATGAGTTTTCGATATTACTGTATTCTAAAGCACAATTAGTTAATCCATTATAATCCATTTTTGTAACAATATGAGATGGTACAAAGAAAATATTCTAAAAATGAAAGATTAAAATTTATTGAGGATAAATTAGGATAAGTATAATTTTGTAAAATATTTAATTTATATCTTATAAATATAAATAATATGCCTCACCTTAATATTGTTATATTATTAACTTTTCAAAGAAGTTCCGCTATATTACCAATATTGATATAATGCACCATAACACTAAAAATAAAACATAAAAACTCGTTAAAATAATAAGTTATTAATGAAATATTGATCATTATATTATATTGATATTTAAGGCAAAATGCTATTGCGACATGTCATCAATAAATAAAATATTGTTCGTGCACTTTGCAAATAATATGCCTTGCCTTACCTTATTATATTATTCCAGTCCGAGTGAAAGAACTCTATCTTAATACTACTTACCTGCAGCATTTGCGTCATAAAAACATGCTTTTTAAATTTAATGTGATAACTTTCCATAAACATAGTCCAATCATCGTCATAGTATTGCGCGAATTGTTATGATATCAAACCGTCATCATAGCCCATAGACATAAACTCTTGCATTCGTTGCTCTATGTTCTTTGGTCTAGATTCTAGACTCTCCACAGAGCTCAAACTGATTCTATGATTCTTATGATGAAAAATTTTGGTTAAGCATGGTCACAAGGACCTACCTGTGGATGCTCGAACATTGTTAGGCACTAGTGGTGGGTCGTTGACGTTTTTTCCGTCAACGAAACGAAACGGTTAACGGGCTCTCGTCAACTAGTTGAAAAACTAGTTAATTTTCAACTATAGTTGATTTTAACAATTCAACGCTTGGAACGTTAATAACTATGAGTTGAAAATACTGTTTCGTTAAAAGTTAATGAAGTTTGTTCCTTATCTATGTTCGTCCCAGTTAAATGTCAAATCATTTGATCAATAACAAGGTTTAGAAGTTGAACTGTGTATCCCATCATATTTTAATTTTAAAGCAAAAGGACATAGTATACTGAAACAACGAATTTATAATTAAAATAGCAATGTTTCACATAATAGACAAATAATTTATATAACACAATAATTTATTTTCAGGTTAGGTTCAAAAAATGACTTCAAGTAATTTCAAATTAAAAATGTTATGGATATAACGAAAAATATTAGTAACAAAACATTTGAAAGTTAGTATTCATCTATAAAAATCTTCTTAGTTAACAAGGTCATAAATATTAGGTTGTCAAATATCTCCCTTCCGCCTTTTTGTATTATAAACCAAGAGCAATCTAATATTTATGACCTTGTTAACTAAGAAGATTTTTATATGACATGATATTTTATAAAGCCTGAAAAATCAAATGAAGATAACTTAAATAGAAGTTTTTATGAAATTTTATAAATTAAACAAATTATTTTCATAAGCACATTTTATTCAAATATTGACATATGTTATACATTTTAATATTAGGAATACATTTCTAATAAATTATATAATTTGTTATATAACAAAACTAAAATTGTAACATTTTTAAATTTTATCAAACCGATTTTGATCTAAATTTACATTTAAATACATTAATTTTTCGACTTTTATATTTTGTAGTCTCGATCTTCTATCCGTAATAACCATGCCTGCTTTTGAAAAGATCCTTTCACAAGGAACGGAGGTAGCTACAACATTACATTGATTTTTAAACAATCTCGCTAAATTTGGATAAACATGCTGGTGATTTCTCCGCCATTGCATTGAACAATTTAATATACCTTCTGCAGATTTCATAGGCAAGCTATCATTAGCGAGATATATATCAATTTCCTTTATAGCAGCATATAGTGGAGTGGATTGATGCAGTGATGCAGTGATGCTCCTACTAGGTTATTTAAAATAGTCCATGGGTTATACTCATCGATATCCATGGACGTTGATGGCACGGGAACAACATTCTCTAAAAGTCTTCGTTCTTCAATGATTTTTGCTACTTTCTGCTTAAGATCTTCTTTAATAATTTTTGCATCTTCTATGTTTGAGAAACCCTTCATTTTGAACCTAGAATCTAATAATGTACAGATTCCAAATGTCTTGCTCCTCTCGACATTTGGAAATCTGTCATTAATTCCTGATTTAAAAATTTCAGTGATTCTTCTAATTACTGGCAACGGGCCATTTCGTGCCAATAATTTGTTACAAGACTCATTCAAACATCTTACTAACACTATTACCAGGCTTCCTGTCAGGTAATTTTCACCACTTTCAGTGGTGGTAATATCTTCAAATGGTTTTAAAATTAAGCATAGTGGTGTCAACATTTTCCACATTTCAGAAGTCAATGATGGTACATTTGCATCTAAAACACTCATTGTCATCCTTATTGACTCTTCAACCTCGACAAATCGTTCCACCATGTAAAAGGTGGAGTTCCACCTTGTTTCGACATCTTAAATCAATTTTTGTGTGTCCATATTGCTGCATTTTTTCACATGCAGTGACACTCCTCCGGAAGTGGCTAACAATTTTCTTTATTATATCGATCTCACTCTTAATCAATTTGAGGCCATCATTTACTATTAAATTAATAGTGTGTGCAAAACATCCATAATGTTTTATTTTTAAAATATCTTTAATGGATTTTTTCATGTTACTGGCATTATCACTAATGGCAAAAGTTACCTTCTGAAGAAATTTCCTATTGTCAAGGATTGTTTGAATTTCTATTGCTAGATTTTCTGATGTATGCGCTCCTTCAAGTTGACAGCATCCGAGAAGAACAGTTTTCAAGTTACGAGTTTCAAGTCTCGTATAATTGTCTGTAATGTAATGGTCTGTAACTGCCACATATGCCTCAGTAACCCTAGTAGTCCAAACATCTAATGTTATGCAAATAGTTTGTGCTTCAGCTAAAACTTCCGCTCTTGTATTTTCAACTGCCTTGTTGTGTTGCTCCTCGAGCATGGATCCTGAAACAGTCTTTCTAGATGGAAGAACATATCCTGGTATCCACCGCATCAACTTTTTAAACGCTCTTTCTTCAACTAATGAAAATGCATGGAAACTATCAATGAACATATCCATCAAATCATGGTCAATCATTTTTTTCTGTTCGCTGCTAATTTTTTTAGTCATGAAAGTCTCGAATACCCTTTGACGCACACTTGTAGGTTGTTGTTGAGCACTACTAGAACTTGGTATAGCCTCTCCGGAATTACTCATATACTGTAAAATACGAGTCTGCTGTGAACTTCCTGCCTCAGTTTCTTGCAACGAAGCATATATGGTAATATGCTTTCTTTTTAAATGACTTTTTAAATTGGCGCTTGTTGAACTATACTTTATCTGCTGGTTGCACACATTACACTTTGCTTTCATACTATCATTTTTTTCAAAATGGTACCACAATACACTAGTATTTCTACGAGATGCCATTAGAACTACAGTCAGAATTAAAAATATAATCTGAATTTTTTTTTAATTTAGAAAAGATTCACTTTCTAATAGTGCTTATCCTCTAACCATTAGCAACACCAACTTGGGGTTTGGAAAGAGGATTCAATTTTTTCAATTCAAAGACTATATATTTCAGTATATAAAAGTATGTACATTGCATTTTAAAACATGGGTTTTTTTACCCGAAGGTATTGTATCCTTCATTGGATTTGATTTTGCAAACAATAATTAATTCAAAATATATAAATAAATTCATATTTGTGTGACAAAAAAAGAGGAAAGAAAATTTATCCCCAAAAAAAAAAATCACATAGCACTATTTATAATAACACATAATAACACAAAAAGAAGAAAAATATAATAAAAATTTATTCACTCTAAGGGAAAAAATTTGTGTCGAGCCAATTTTCGTTTACCGCTATGGGTCGATCAGTATATATTTTGGCATGGCGTGATTGCCATACCAAATATCGTCTCTTGTGGCCGAGGCCCGCGATGTTAATATTAGGATGATCCCCACATTTTAGATAACAAATTTCAGTGAGCTTTTTTATAAAGTCTAGTATGGTCGGCAAGTCAGTCTGTTTGTGTATGTATTTTGAAGAGTAGTAATGTCTAGTCAGTGGGTCCCTTATTTTGTTGAGTACGAGTCGTAGTGTCTTATTTTGTAATGTCTGTAGTTTTCGTAAGTTAGTCTTAGTCGTCGCGTTCCATACCGGAGCGGCGTATGTCAGTATCGGTCTTATTAGTGTCAAGTAAAGTGTTCGCTTGTGCTTCACGCTTAGCGGGCTGTTGTGGTTCAAGAGAGGTCTCAGTAGATTTAACATCCCGTAAGCCTGTCCAATTTTTGTATTAACATGTTTTGTGAAGCTGAGTCTATGGTCCAGGGTCACACCAAGATATTTGACATCCTTGGACCACTCAGCTTCACAGTCCAATACTTTAATTTTGTCCAAGTCAGTCAGTCTAGTCGTGGCATTTCGGCTCTTTGTGAAAAGAATAGCCTCCGTCTTTTGCGGATTGATTTTAATTTGCCATTCACAAGGAACGGAGGTAGCTACAACATTACATTGATTTTTAAACAATCTCGCTAAATTTGGATAAACATGCTGGTGATTTCTCCGCCATTGCATTGAACAATTTAATATACCTTCTGCAGATTTCATAGGCAAGCTATCATTAGCGAGATATATATCAATTTCCTTTATAGCAGCATATAGTGGAGTGGATTGATGCAGTGATGCAGTGATGCTCCTACTAGGTTTATTTAAAATAGTCCATGGGTTATACTCATCGATATCCATGGACGTTGATGGCACGGGAACAACATTCTCTAAAAGTCTTCGTTCTTCAATGATTTTTGCTACTTCTGCTAAGATCTTCTTTAATAATTTTTGCATCTTCTATGTTTGAGAAAACCTTCATTTTGAACCTAGAATCTAATAATGTACAGATTCCAAATGTCTTGCTCCTCTCGACATTTGGAAATCTGTCATTAATTCCTGATTTAAAAATTCAGTGATTCTTCTAATTACTGGCAACGGGCCATTCGTGCCAATAATTTGTTACAAGACTCATTCAAACATCTTACTAACACTATTACCAGGCTTCCTGTCAGGTAATTTTCACCACTTTCAGTGGTGGTAATATCTTCAAATGGTTTTAAAATTAAGCAGTGGGGTGTCAACATTTTCCACATTTCAGAAGTCAATGATGGTACATTTGCATCTAAAACACTCATTGTCATCCTTATTGACTCTTCAACCTCGACAAATCGTTCCACCATGTAAAAGGTGGAGTTCCACTTGTTTCGACATCTTAAATCAATTTTTGTGTGTCCATATTGCTGCATTTTTTCACATGCAGTGACACTCCTCCGGAAGTGGCTAACAATTTTCTTTATTATATCGATCTCACTCTTAATCAATTTGAGGCATCATTTACTATTAAATTAATAGTGTGTGCAAAACATCCATAATGTTTTATTTTTAAAATATCTTTAATGGATTTTTCATGTTACTGGCATTATCACTAATGGCAAAAGTTACCTTCTGAAGAAATTTCCTATTGTCAAGGATTGTTTGAATTTCTATTGCTAGATTTTCTGATGTATGCGCTCCTTCAAGTTGACAGCATCCGAGAAGAACAGTTTTCAAGTTACGAGTTTCAAGTCTCGTATAATTGTCTGTAATGTAATGGTCTGTAACTGCCACATATGCCTCAGTAACCCTAGTAGTCCAAACATCTAATGTTATGCAAATAGTTTGTGCTTCAGCTAAAACTTCCGCTCTTGTTTTTCAACTGCCTTGTTGTGTTTGCTCCTCGAGCATGGATCCTGAAACAGTCTTTCTAGATGGAAGAACATATCCTGGTATCCACCGCATCAACTTTTTAAACGCTCTTTCTTCAACTAATGAAAATGCATGGAAACTATCAATGAACATATCCATCAAATCATGGTCAATCATTTTTTCTGTTCGCTGCTAATTTTTTTAGTCATGAAAGTCTCGAATACCCTTTGACGCACACTTGTAGGTTGTTGTTGAGCACTACTAGAACTTGGTATAGCCTCTCCGGAATTACTCATATACTGTAAAATACGAGTCTGCTGTGAACTTCCTGCCTCAGTTTCTTGCAACGAAGCAATATGGTAATATGCTTTCTTTTTAAATGACTTTTTAAATTGGCGCTTGTTGAACTATACTTTATCTGCTGTTTGCACACATTACACTTTGCTTTCATACTATCATTTTTTTCAAAATGGTACCACAATACACTAGTATTTCTACGAGATGCCATTAGAACTACAGTCAGAATTAAAAATATAATCTGAATTTTTTTTAATTTAGAAAAGATTCACTTTCTAATAGTGCTTATCCTCTAACCATAGCAACACCAACTTGGGGTTTGGAAAGAGGATTCAATTTTTTCAATTCAAAGACATATATTTCAGTATATAAAAGTATGTACATTGCATTTTAAAACATGGGTTTTTTTACCCGAAGGTATTGTATCCTTCATTGGATTTGATTTGCAAACAATAATTAATTCAAAATATATAAATAAATTCATATTTGTGTGACAAAAAAGAGGAAAGAAAAATTATCCCCAAAAAAAAAAATCACATAGCACTATTTATAATAACACATAATAACACAAAAAGAAGAAAAAATATAATAAAAATTTATTCACTCTAAGGGAAAAAATTTGTGTCGAGCCAATTTTCGTTTACCGCTATGGGTCGATCAGTATATATTTTGGCATGGCGTGATTGCCATACCAAATATCGTCTCTTGTGGCCGAGGCCCGCGATGTTAATATTAGGATGATCCCCACATTTTAGATAACAAATTTCAGTGATTTTTATAAAGTCTAGTATGGTCGGCAAGTCAGTCTGTTGTGTATGTATTTTGAAGAGTAGTAATGTCTAGTCAGTGGGTCCCTTATTTTGTTGAGTACGAGTCGTAGTGTCTTATTTTGTAAGTCTGTAGTTTTCGTAAGTTAGTCTTAGTCGTCGCGTTCCATACCGGAGCGGCGTATGTCGTAATCGGTCTTATTAGTGTCAAGTAAAGTGTCGCTTGTGCTTCACGCTTAGCGGGCTGTTGTGGTTCAAGAGAGAGGTCTCAGTAGATTTAACATCCCGTAAGCCTGTCCAATTTTTGTATTAACATGTTTTGTGAAGCTGAGTCTATGGTCCAGGGTCACACCAAGATATTTGACATCCTTGGACCACTCAGCTTCACAGTCCAATACTTTAATTTTGTCCAAGTCAGTCAGTCTAGTCGTGGCATTTCGGCTCTTTGTGAAAAGAATAGCCTCCGTCTTTGCGGATTGATTTAATTTGCCATTTGTCAGTATATTCAGTTAGTTTGTCTATGTGTGTCTGTATCTTGTAGTCAGTAGCGTCGGTGAGCGTGATGATTTGTATATGACAGTGTCGTCAGCAAACGTCAGTAACGTTGTGTCGGCGTCAGTGGGTATGTCGTGAAAGTAGACGTTAAACAGTACGGTCCCAGAATCGAGCCCTGCGGTACTCCCGCCGTCACTTGTTTTAACCGTCGAAAGTCCGTTGTCTACTTGTACAGTGAAGTTGCGGTCTGAGAGGTATGAGTGTAAAGTTTCGTTATGTACGGTGGAAAGTTTAGTTGGATAAGTTTATGTATAAGTCCGTCCATCCAGATGGTGTCAGACGCCTTCTCAAAGTCGAGTAACACCAGTCCGGTATGGTTTCGTCTGTTGAAATTGAGAACAGTATTTTCTATGAGTTTTGTCAGTGGGTGTAGTGTGGAGTTGTTCTTTGAAGCCGTATGTATGTCAGGTATGATTTGTTGTGTCTTATGTGTTTGTTAAGTCTTTTGAGTAGTACCTTTTCGGCTACCTTACTCATTGTGTTGAGGAGGCTGATCGGTCTGTAGTTCTGTGGTACGTCTGGCTGTTTCCTTGGTTTCACTATTGGAAATATGGTGGAGGTTTTCCAAGAAGCGGGAAAGCAGCCTTTTGGATTATTCTATTTATTATGCGTGTAAGTCGTCGGTAGTTGTTTAAGTATTATGTTTTGTAGTCCGTCCGGTCCTGGTACTTTTCTGTTTGGTAATTTTTTAACTATTGTCTTTATTTCGGAAACTGTGGCAGGGTCTATTCGTAAGTCTTTGTCCCTGTGGAGGTCAGTGAAGTTTGAATTGTCTCGTGTACGTCTTGTTTCAGGTCTGCGTTTGACTTATTGGCATTTGGTTTATGTATGTTCTCAAAGTTTTTTGCCAATATTTCCGCCTTGTCTGCTGGTGTGCGTTGCGTAACTGTTGTCAGTTAATTTGAGTGGAGGTATGGATGTTGCTTTCCGCGTCAGTCTTTTTGCTGTCTGCCAAATTTTGTGTGGGTCAGTATTTAAGTTCTCGAGTCTTTTGGTCCAAGTATTGTTTCGGTAGTCACGTATTTCATTGGAAATAATTTTTGTCAGTCTGCTCACATGTCCCTTGAGTAGTCTGTCACCGGTACGGTACGTTGTATTTCAATAAAATGTGTTCTGGCAAGTCGTTGGCTGGTGTTGTTCTTGAGTCTA